TCAAGTATACCATTCACGCCAGGTTTCCGAAGCACGTTCCAGCCGTCAGTGTTCTACATATTCGTTAGCAATGATTTGTCCTGGACACCTGATATGACTCACAGTGTAGGCGGTTCAACTGACGATGATCAATTACCCGCTCGTTTTTGGAAGATCAGTTCAATGCTTGGGTATTGTTGCGGTATTCTACCGACCTTTGTAACCATTGCGAAAATTGCTCATACTCCACGTTGTCTGCGCCGGTGTCAAACAAGGGGAAGTGCTCGTGTGGAGTGGTCATCATATCCAGCTCTATCCGGTTTGGCATGGGGCAGAGCTCCGTTGGTGGTGGAGAGACTGGCCCCTCCAACGGTCGTTCAAAGGCGGAGTCTTGCGACTCCGGCTCTAATATATTATGGAGCCCGGTTAAGAAAGGTGGGAATCTTGGCGGTCCCTGCTCTTCAGGACCAAAGCCGCCTCCTGTAGCTGAGACACAAGAGGCTCGTTGTGGCCACTCATCGCAGAAGTCCATGTCAACGCTGTTTCGGGGGTTCTGGGGCCTTCCAGGCTCGCTTTGAAACGATAACACTCCCGGTCCCTGCACAGGGCAAGGTGGATGTAAGAATTCACCAGCGTCACTTTGTGTCAGGTACTCGCCTTGAGACCAGTCCAACACCCAGTCAATTGATGGTAGTGCTCGTCTCAAGTCTAGCGCTGTGGTTGATGGCATTGAGCCCCATGCAACCTGATCGGGCCATCCACTCGACCGACCGATGGACATGCAAGTACTCGCAGGGGTACCCGTGTTCGGGACATGTTCAATGCTCGCTTGTGGCCGGATTGCTGGAGAAGAGTTGCCGCATCCATAGTGAATAGTGCCACCGCGCTGGTCCTGCGAGATGATTGCTGCCGGACGGGAGGAGGGCAAGGCGTATTCAACGTTGGTGCTTGCTGCGTGACAGGAATTGGACAAGCCCTCACAGTGTTTGACAAGTGAGTTATTGCTGTGAGAGCCACAGGTTACCGGCCCGACTTGGCCTGGTCCTCCGTCAGCATTGATGCGCTGAGGACACGGGGCATCCTTGCTGGTCGTGAAAGGACGTTGCGCGACAGAATTTGATCGCCGTGAAACTGCTTTGGGCCGAGGAGAACAGCTCCTTCCTTTCAACGAACATTGTTCACAGGGTAACGTCCCAGAGCACTGATTAGCATCCATGTTAGCGCTTGTCCTACAACAAAGCATTGTCGCCTTATGATATGGTAATATGTGCTGGCTGCATACCTTAATCCTGAGCCGATAACAACTTGCACAAGCTGTGCCGGGCCGGCGCCTTTCCTTCCGCAATCGGCGATGCTAAAGCAGGAGTCAGTGGTAATTCGGTGACGGGGACTAAATAAGCGACTGTATATAAATGTACCATGATACGAGTGTCCGACGCCTTTGCGGGAGTTGTCGTAGATTCATTGGCATCACTAGCCTCTAGTAACCCAGGGGGACGAATTGGCACGGATCCGAAACAGTCATCCGCTTCAGTCTGTGCTGGGGCTTGACCGTGGAACAGGGYGGAACTCTTCCTTACCGCACCCGATTGACGTATCATAACCTCAAATGGAGGTAACTGTCTTTGTTCGCCCATRGTCTGGGGCTGCACCATACTCCGTTTTGTCAACATGTAGGTTTGTTTACCAAGAAAGTCAAATCGCCGTACAAAATATGCCAATGAGTACTTTCTTGAAGTAGTTACATGTGTCCTAATCTTATGAGGCTGCAGATGTCTTTATACTCTAGTTCGTATCATTAAGCCATCATGCCAACCAGCCGGCAGACGAAGTAATGTGACACAACCACTTATAGGGGATGCCAGTGGACCGCCGCTTCATTCCACACTTGGATCGTACAGTTGCAGAAATTACGCTGTTAACTGCTGAACTATGCCAGAAAGATAGTCAGAAAGGCATGTAATGGCTCTGCAGCGTCCTAGGCTAGCCAGAGAACGCCTCAGGTGGTTGGCGCCTGTCAGCTGTGAAACAGCCAAGGTTTCTCCATGATGGCAAGCCACAGCACAAATATTGAACCTTAGTTTGTACAAGATTTTAGTTTCCTGGGAACGGTAGCAGTGATCGCGGAGAGGTCTTGTGCTCAGGAGAAGTATGTTTGTTCTCAGGGGCAAATGAAGTGTTCCTGGGAGCTTAGCCTCCTCTCCTGTGCAGAACATGTCTCTTACGGACACCAGATTACGTATTACCAGATGCCCAGTTTCAGACAGTTCATTTGCTTGCTGGTCACCCTAAATGAGCTTCGAGTCGCCTACTGGGGGCATATGCAAAATTGTCTAGAGGAGGTGGGTTTCCCTGGTTCCAGTCCAGCATATGCCTACTCCTTGGAAACGACTTCTGTAAATGATAGCTGGGGACAAGTGAAACTTCAAATAGTACCAGACGACCACACAAGGACAAAGACGACAGCAAATGGATACATAGGCCATGACACACTAGGTGTGTATAGGGATAGAAGAAATAAAATATCAACGAGCAAACGAACAGACAGCAATGCGAATGTACCTCTCAAGGAGCTACCATCCAACGTCTTGCCCATAGTCCAGAACGTCACAATCGTGCAGCTCGCTCCGGTGAACCGTGTCCGGTGACGTTGCGTACCGGACAGAGAGGGAATCTGAATTAGACTGAATATCAGCGAGTTCAGACCCAGAGGCTGAGGATCGAGGCGGCAGATGGCCGGAATTAGCCATTCGTCGTTGTCCGGAGACTGTTGTCAAGGAAGGCTGGATGTCCTCCCAGCTGGCCAGCCCGAGCCACATATTCACCATGCTAGACTGTGTTGGCTCTTGTCCGAACCAGACCTTCGGGGAATAGGACGGCCAATCGCAGCCGGCAGAGTCACCGATATGCGGTCTTTGTAAGCTTTCCGCCCAGTATGAGCTGCTCTCTACCGGCAGCCCATGCTCTGCAACTCGATATCGTGTCATGCAGCCATTGGCTTCAGCATCATCTAGCAGAGCAGAAGGCTGGATAGAATCGGAAGCCTGGCATAACTTGGGCAGCAACTGGGCTGAGCTCCGTGCCTTTTTCTTTGAATGCGTTCTGGCCAAAGACGGCTTTCTCTTTTTACTTGCCGAAAAGTGATAATCCGGGTGCGCCCTAGCATGATTTTCTTTCTCAATCCTTGCAAGGATCTTGTACGTTCTGCGAATCTTTGGGGTCTCTATGTTCCAGCTGATTCCTGTGATAATGGACACTTTCTGATGATCATTGTGGGCGGTCGTCAAGAACTTCGCTCGATCGGCGTACGCCGACCGATACAGCATGAACGAGTTCATCGGCCGTGGAATCCTGCCATTCTTTTTGAGAATCTCCTGACGACGCTCCTCAATCGGCCGCTGGACCCAGGAATGCATGTCTCGGACGGGAATGTGTGTCATGGTCTGGGTCAGTTCACTTAATGGACCTGGCAGATCGAAACCTTCATTCTTTGTATGGGCGCCGCTGGCGGTCCCGACACTGTCGAAAGCGGACTGCCGGGCATAGGTTCGCTGGGCGCACAAGGGCCACTGGTTCGTCAAGTCCACGTTGGCACAATTGTCGTGAGTAATCGAGCTTCCTTTCATTGGGATCGTCGGGCCGGTCTACAGAATATCAGTGTAAGCAATGTAGTAAATTGCAAATCGGGCTCTTCCGCCTGGGGAAACGATTGGAAACATCTCGCGGGCTTTTGTAAAGGTGCATATTGGGGCTGATTGTCGGCAGAGGCCCATTCCTTGGGCAGGAATCCAACAGTGCATGAGACTTGGAGTTTGCTAGTGGTGTAGTAAATGCGATCCGGTAAATACACACCCTTGATAGCTCCACATTACCCCGGCATATATGGTCACAGAAGCCGCTCGGAGAATCGACCGGAAAGGACAGACGACACGCTGGATTCGAAGAATCATCCATCATCCCTTCATGGATGAATTGAAAAGAGGAGAGCGGCTGTTTGCCAAATAAATTTGACATAGTGCCAGCCGTGGCTGTTGTAGTTCAGAGTGTTCAGGAAATATTGCCAGAAAGTGACAAAGACACTAGCTCCTGTCTTAGCGGAGATACCACTCGATGGAGAGATAGAACGGATTGAGGCCATGGGGGAGAGCGCATATTAATCGTTGACGGACAGACAGCGTCCTTACGAGAAGAGACGATATAGGCTCATACTCTCATGTAGGTTGCCTTTGAAACCGCCTGTAGTAGCTTTGGATGTTTCTTCCTAACAGGGAAAGCGATAATATCATTTTCCATATCAAGAGTCCCGCGAGCTATCTCCAGGCCTTTAGCACAACTGATCGATGGCCCAATAGTCTCTCTCTCTTTCGTTGGTCCCTGGTCTGCTGCATCCATGGGCGTAAGGTCTGACGGCCCAACTAGTTGTGTGCAGGGATACAGGGATATCAGATGCATGACAAATATAAGATAAACCACGGTCGATGTGACAGATCTCTCAACATTCGGGATAATGCCATCCTACGCCACACAGCACGAGAAGCAAGCCAACGGATCGAAGAGTGGAGAAGTCTAGTGCTCCTGGGGTTGCTGGCTGTGCAACTCATTCCGGATACATGCAATACCACGAAGGTCCATGGATCATTTATCGGGTCATTTGTTGACACTCCTGCCAAAAATTATCCACAGGCACATACTGAATTCACAGCCTTCAAATACTTGGTTGGGGACGTTTTACCATGCCCATATCAATACCCATAGTAGACTCAATTTCACCATGTCAGATCAATTGCTGTTCCAGACTACGCCGTACCAACAGTGGCGCACAACTGTATCCAATCAGACCAATCCGTCCAATTAAGGTTTAATAGGCCGGCTGGGTACATCGATAACGAGTCAGGTGACGGTGGTTATTTCCACGCCAATGAGTTGTCTGTCTGACAAAAACTGGAGCGGATGTGTTCCAGAAATATCGAATCTGCGCTACAAAGGCTCCAAATAAGTGTGTAAAATGTCATTGACCGCAAATGATTGAAGAGTGGACTATTGTATGGCTACTTTGGTCATGGCTCTGGACAAACCCACGTCTTGAATAGAGCCGAACCTAGCAAACGATCAATTAGTGAAGCGGTGTGCTCCGAGACTAGGGCGCAATAATTTGGAATCGAGTACCAAACTGCTGGGACCATTCTCGCGGCGAAATGTGACTCGCCCAGAATTGATAATGGCAGAAATCTTTGATGGGTGTAGCTGGCTCCAGCGCAGTTGACGCCGCGCTAGGCGCAGCGCTTCTCATCAAGGAACAGATGATTTATGCTTCCTTGAATTTAACTATACTTTTCGTGAAGCTCCACCTTGCTATCCAACCCACTAGTCTCGAAAGCATAGTGTCATATTGGTCAGTAGCAGTCACACTGTCCGGGGAAAGGCTCCAGAATTGGGTGAATCGATCATATCCCAGCACCCGTACCGCGCGAATCAACTTTGGATTGAAGGGTTTGTCATGCGGCGGAATCTGATTCGCTGGGTCGGCTCATTTAGCTAAGCATCATGGACAGTTTCGAATATCAACTGTTCGTTTTCGATTTCTTCCTTGCCCCAGCCATCAGAGGGAAGCAGGTGTTAGACGGCAGAGGAGAGATGACTAAAAGCCATGTCGTCGCTGCAGGGCAAGTTGCACCGCGGTGGCTTATGCGATACAGTCTTGAGAATCAATATGACTCAGTCCTCATATTTCAGAGCCAGCAACTTATTGAATACCCCACAGCGATTTACAATATCCCTAGGGACTAAGATGACTAGTCTGAACCGTATCGGAAGTTTGACGCCTCGCCCAACGTGATCACGTCAGGATCATCGTGCCGCCCTGGCACGTCATAGGTATCGCTATATTTTGACTGAGATCGCCACATTTGCGTCTAGGCCACACTGTTATAGCATATATCAGCGACTTGAACTATGTGATGTTAAAGACGCGCCCAGTGTGGTGCAGTGCCAGATCTGTGGGTGCTGAGACCGGACGGTGCTTCTGCGACAGAACAAACAGAAGTATTTCGCGATATGGTTCTCTCCTTGACTGTCCGCGACAGAAGATTGGTTCGCGAATCAAAGAGCCTGACGCCAACCAGTGCAATTTCGGATAGCTGGATCTGTGAAGCCATCGATGCATCGAGGCCTAAGACATTCTTTGTCTCAGTTAGAAAGCCCGGAGTTCGAGTAAAACTCAACTGAGCGCCACTTTTGACGTTTCGGGGTTTGCTTCTTGGCCTGAAAGAGGAATAACAGATCGTCAATCTCATCTGATATTTCTAGAGGCTCAAATGCCTCTGTGGATCGCAGATCATATGCACGCCATGGGACGCATCTGGATTTTATTGACCTGACCGTAGCACAGTTGGGGAAACAATTTTTGGGAGCAATTGATCGATCAGTCCCTCMGCTATTTGCTAACAAAGAATCAAGCAGCGTAGCGCCATTTCTTTATCTCACCAGCGAGTAGATCAGCCACCACTAACTTTTACCAGCCAATCAAGATCAGCAGTGGATCAATATGAGAGATGGTCCMACCAGTCATTCCGGATCTGCAGTTCCGTAAATTGTGGCGATGATCGTACTTTAAGGAGGCTAGCTAGGGGTCAATTTCACGTGCCTCTCTGGATGCCAAGAGTAGCAATTCGGTCCAAGCCGCTGGCCACCACCCACATCCTCGCCGCCGTCAACTCCCCAGATCGTCTGCCACTCTGCCAGGGCCATTAGACCTCGCGTTGTCTATAACGACCTCGTCAAGCCTTTAAAAAATGTGTTAGACGAGAATTTCCTGACATCAGACACCTGAATTGGATGTTGCTGGATTCGTCGAGAGTCAATCCACCGTTGTACGAGAGACGTTTTAGTGTTTGCTCCGAGATTTGGCGGTCTCTGGGAAAAGTTGGTCAATTAGAGATGATTTACAACTGCTGTGAACTGTACAGTTGGTCTCAATCATTTCTGATCTATACCAATGGCTCGAAGCTCCTCAGGGGAGTTGACCCTATCACGCTTCCGATGGAGAATATTCCGCACCGCAATAGGACACGCGCCAGTCAACCAAGCTCATCGATGTTGGTTTGATGCAGGATGACACTGTGTTTCAATTGGCACTGATTCGGTACGTGTTGTGCTCCTCTGTCCTCCACGGGCTAGTATTGAAACGCGGAGCTGCTCCATGGCCCTTTCAACATCCTCATTCCACTGCTTCTGTTCCTCCACACTGGTCTCTAGTGCCCTTAAGTCCTCCATCAGTCTATGCAATGGTCGTACATGGCAGAGTGTTGACGGTGCACTTACTCTACCCTCTCGGATAGTCTGGCAGCGCCTGTCAGTTAACCGCGCTTCTTTCTGTTACGGCAACACATAGAAATGATGGTACGGTACTCATTCAGGAAAGGTAAGACCGACATTTGGGCCGGAATCCCATTTATCCTATCGGTCGATCGGCTTGGGTAGCTCATGTTGAATTTAGCAATGCTCGACGGATCCTCATCGCGTTCGATGGTTCCGTGTACGTCCGCGACTATGGGATGGCTATTGCGAGGAGAAGCAGTAGTGAAATACAGGTCGTGTTGCGGAGAGTCGTACCCCAGCGCTTTACGAAGGGCCTGCAGTCTCGTGTACTGCGGCGGACCTTCTTGGATTTGAGAATGCTGGTTAGGCATCTGGGACCCAAATTCCAACCAAGTCAATGCTATCCCTGTGTGAGGTAGGGGAGTGAATGGGTGACAGTTGAGGAAGAGATATGGCAAACGGCGTGGTACAGGCAAATGCTTAAATATGCAAAGGGCGGTCAGCAATGTCCGTGAAAGTAGTGACACGTCCGGTTGACGCAGAAGAGGACGCCCGCCTGCCGCAACAGTGCTGTTTCATGTGAATAACATTTGCTCTGATGCTGGGAGTTCACTCATCATTGACATCACTGGAACTTGAGGGAGATTGGATCATACAAAACTTACGCCATCCACGACCGTGGAACACACTCCTGAAATATGACCATGGGTATTCCATTCGCCCAGCAACCCCTCTCAGATCAACCTGGCCGGCGGAGCTGATAAGCAAGTGATCACGTCTCTGAGCCTTTCTTTGATGATTATCCCATGTCGCGTGTGGCATAATGACCTATGGCCTTACTGGCGCCTTGTGCTTCAAGATCTGTTACAGCGCTGAAGTAGCCTAGGGCTTTTGCCAGAATCAAATGCTTTCTCTGGCTTGACCACCGCATGTAGGTCGCCAGCCCATGAGAAAAGGAAGGGACGCGCAAGCAGCTAGACGTTTCTCCAGATTCTTTCGATGCGAATCTTCTAGAAACTTGTCGAGACAGTCCTGGAATTCATTACACTGTTGCCCAGCCCCGAAAGGGACAGCGCTTTCTACCAGTGCCCTTCCAGGCCCTCCTTCCAACTACGTCTGAGGAACCTATCCTATTCTATCAACACCAGAGAAGTCAATCAACAAGGTGGCGGTAGCTGAACGCCCCTGGTTATGGAATTATTATGGTACCGAGCAGGGGAAGCAGTATGGTCTGTCCTTTCATTGACCTTAAATAGTGTGGGTATACGAAACTGGAATTTCACTACCGACATCCACTTTGCCAGTACTT